CAGATTGTTACTGAAAGGGTGTTCCTCAGAAAGTCTGTTACAGTGGTTGAATCATTATATTAATATTACGTTAAACAGTGTCCTTGTCTGAGATTATACAAAATGTTTGGAAGTTGGCTCTACTTCCATCTTCAGGTGACTAGTTATAATTACACAGATTTTATTTTAATTTCCTATATTTAGGATTAGTGGACCAAACCTGACCTAGACATTACCATACAAGGTCCCGGTTTTGAACCCAACCTTTGGAATTATTAGTAAAATAATAAATACTTTTAAAAATCCATCAGTATAATCATAAACTTGAATACAGGACTAAAACAAACTCCTGAAACTGAGAGCACATAATTCCTCCCCATATAGAACGTAACGTTTCGCCTCCTGCTTTGATCAGTACCCGGGAATTTATTCAGTTCTCACAGCAGAAAACTTGCGTCCTTTAAATATGTATCAAGTTACTTTGATATGTAAAGTATACTTAAAACATGGATGTAATTGCTGTAACGATCTGGTAAAAAGTATTCTATTCGTGTTACACGATTTACAGCCTTGACTTTGAAAGGATCTATAAAATATAAATAAATTCTGCTGTCTTCTGCTGCACTCAAACACCAGCTACTAGTATGCAACTACAATATTCAACAAGCTTTTCTAACCTTAAGAGACAAGTATTTCCCAAATTTTGTGCGGAATACATCATTATGACCGCACAGCTCTCGCAGACAATCCATAAATGTAGATTCCAACGTAGTATCCATGCTTCACTCTATTATTATATCACGCTTCGACAAAATGAGCACAAACTAAAAGAATACAATTTCAAACAAAAACCGCTAGAACCATGCTACAACCATGTTTATGATTGCATCCATGACATACGAAACCTTCCTGAACTAGAACCATGCTACAACCATGTTTATGGTTGCATCCATGACGTACGAAACCTTCCTGAGCAACACGTGCTAGACCCGGTGCTCACCATGTACATGATTATGAAACACTGTAACCTCGACGCCATTCATTGGAAACATATGTGCTGCCATCTATCATTGTCATTGCTATAATAACACGACCGGCAGTGTGTTTGCAATTTGTGATACGTGTAATATTACCTACTGCTACGTTAGTTTCAGCCAATAATTCAATAAAGTCCTTAAATCTTGCATACCGTGTAGTGTATTTGAATATAATTGGAATATAAATTGTGCATACAAACAACAGACGGCACAACCACGGTTCACCGTAGACCAGCAACGGCCATCAGACCAGTGGACCAACAGCTACAATACACCAACTCCCGTGCAACAAACAGCCAGTGAAGTGTTACAAAATATGGTTTTGTAAAGAACTTACCCTTATGCTCTGCTAAACCCATGATTTTTTTTTGTTTATATTATATGAATTAACTTGTTTTTGTGCCACTGTTGATGACCTCTTGAGGTCGAAACGCGTTTGACATTAGTTTCCTACATAGTGTAAAAAGTTGTTTGTATGCACATTTTATGATCAATAAAGTACGCCCATTTCTTTCGCTTGGTATGAGATCGTTCGTGTCTTATAATAGACCTGTGACGTCAGAATCATGAGCTTTAGTTGAGGAGCACGCGCTCAGGTAGCTGTAGAATGCTAGTCACATCCAATCAGGCCTTCCTATAATGTACATGTTAGAATACACATTGCACAACATGATCAGTAGAGTATTAAGGGAGAGTGTTGTACCTTGGAACAAATTTTTGTTGTTACTTTTTTTCTTTGGGTTTGGAGAGCTCTATTATTTTCCTTATGTGTTGTTATTATGGATTATTTTGTATTAAACAGTGGTATATTCTATCTCTTTTTAACTTTCTGCATATTATATATGTCTAGGTTAACGTAATGAGCACCATTGGGAAGCCTCGCATATTTTGTATTACAGCCAGTGTTAATTAAACACATACACAAGTATTATGAAATGCAAACATCCTTGAAAAAGAAAAACATTACAAATGCATATACATTGTTTCATTCTAGAATGTTTCTACCATTAAAATCATTGGCCAACAACAACTTGTACTTAGTTTCAAAACACATTACAGATGACAGGCGGATACAGTACGCTTCATACTGCCATCTAGTAAAGAAATACGTAACCCTTTACAGATAAACTACTCTAACCTAATTCCTTCATTACGTTTTCATCAATATCCATTTTCTTTATATTTAAAAATAATTATATCCTTTATGTTTAACACAAAATTTAATTTTATAACAAAAGACAGTGTTTAAAGACGGTCTGGTATTTGTTTACTCTATTAAATTCCTCATTGTTAGAACATCGGGTTTTTATTCCGTTGTCGCAGTCCCATTGCCTATTCGAACATTGTTACGCATTGTTGAAGCTTGTTTACTAGTGAAACCAAGGAAACGTCTAAGATAGAAACACTTGAGCTCAAACACAGCTGAAGTGAGGACGTCTGAGCGATACACGAATAACTCACTGGAAATATAAATCTTCAGGAGGTAAGTGAAGACTTAAATTTTATTTATGGAGTATATATAGGTAAGTAACTGATAACAGACAATCTTGAATAATATAATATAATACAATTTAATATTAATTTTAATTTTTTCACAAAGTCTACGTTTGATTTTCCAAACCCTGTCAGCCATATTTCTGACTAAAATTGTGTTTTGAGTCATTCATCTGCAAAATTATGATTGCATCCAACTTCGCAGCTGAAGATATGATGCATATATTAAGTGTAGAGAATTATTCTGTCGTTACGAGCCATACAATCACTTGTTTTAATCTTTCAGATGGAAAATAACTTCGCACTTAGTGCTAATACCTACGAAATCGTCCACACCTACGATGTAACTGATTCAATCCAACTGCTGTTTACGATTTTCTTTATCTGTTGGTTGTTAAGAAATTTATTTCGAAAAACGTAAGTACACTTGTATATTGCTTCAAACATTTATGATGGTAAATAGACGTTTTGAATTCCGAAAATATTTTGCTAAGAGACGAAAAAAATTACGATTCTTTATATTTCACGATATGAAAACGTCTAAATTTAAAGAGTTATAAAATTCTATACGTAAAATGAGGACCGCCTTTAGGGGATTAAAATAATGGCCAGGTTGCGTATCTATAATCTGGATTGAGCACGCAACTCCGAAACGTCGGTCCACCTCTTAAGACTATACGACTGAATGTCAAATACAGCTGAAAAATATCCCATCTAAATTCGTCTATATGAAATTAATCTTAAACTTAAATGAAATTGACTGTAATTTCAATATTAGATTTTTGTATTTTGAAAACATTTCGGGTAATTACTTTAAAACTATCAGTTTCAATGCGTCCGTAGTGAAATTGGCTGAGAGATCCCGCCATCACACGCGTACAATAATCTCCTTTATCTCTGTGACCTCCTCTGTGTTACAGGATTACCCGTAATACACGAGTGGATCCCAGATATATCTACACAGATATCAGCCACAATTTCATCATGATAGTAGTTCATGAACAGTGTCCACACGACCATCAGCGCCACACCACGCATCAGTAGAAACAAATATAATCCACGCAGAAGAAACCTAGAGAGTTCTCTCTCGGACTCCGAGAAGCCGCCCTGGCCTACAACCTTGAGGTCCATTTTCAGCCGGTGGACGACCGAAATTAACCAGTCCCTCGGAGGTCCTTCAGGCCATCAAGCGACTCAAGGTTGGTAAGGCTCCGGGCCCCAACGGTATACCTCAATGACATAACCTCAACGTCCCGCCACGTCGAGTTACCGCAGTACGCGGATGACACGGCTCTAGTAGCCCAACGCTTCTCGTCAGTTATCTGGAGGCCTACATCTGTAGACTGGACCTCTGGCTCAGGGCCTGGAGGAGTGTTATCAACGTCTCGAAGAGCACCGCGGTTCTCTTAGTTTAGACTAGAAGACGCATCCAACAGCCCAGAGCAGTGCAGCCGATCCATGATGGATTACGCATGCCCGATCTGGAGGTCAGCTGCCAGGTCCGGAAGCTACAAGTGTTTCAATCCAAGTGTCTTCGCTTTGCGACTAACGCGCCTTGGTACGTTAGTAACAGGAGGATTTGGAGATCCCGCTCTTTGCCGATCACGTCAGAGCACTGATTGAGAGAATTGACTCGAGGTTAGCTGGTGTGGGGAACCCCTTAGTCCGGCAACTAGGTAGGCACTCGTGCCGAACGAGGGCTGTCAGAGGTCACCCAAGGCCAGCCGAGACTGCCTAGGCAGGGACGGAGTCCTGCGCATGCGCAGGACTCCGTCCTTAGTTTGCGTTTTGGTTGGTTGGTTGACCGAGAGAGTAACTGCCATCTGTTGAGACAAGCAGCAACAATAATGTATGTTTTAATAAAATAAAATACTTGTTAAATTTCCGTATTTTTCTTTCATTTTTGCACATTATTCATAGACTTCAGTACCCAGAAATGTTAGCTGTTATGTGTTTTTAAAATCTAGTTTTCAATTCATTGTCGCAGTCCCATTGTCCGTTCGTACGTTGTTACAAACTGTTTGCTGGCGTTACCAAGTAAACGCCTACGATAGAAGCAGTTGAGATGAACAGAGCTCGAGAGGATGACTGAACGAAAACTACCAAAACACACGTAGCAACGTTTCTTGAACTCTCTGCATATTATATATGTCTTGGTTAACGTAATGAACACCATTGGGAAGCCTCGCATATTTTGTATTACAGCCAGTGTTAATTAAACTCATACACGAGTATTATGAAATGCATACGTCCTTGGTTTTATTCTAAATATTTCCTTTATACATGCTTTACAATTGAGATAATTTTGAATAAGACTTTGCTTATTCAATTTGAATTAGTTACGCTTAAAATGGGTCTGTGGTAGATGAACGTAAGGTAATGTAATGTAAAGTAATGTAATGAAATGTAATGTTTTATAGGTAACAATGCCAAGTAAACAGAAGACGTTTCCTAGATAACCATTGTTTATTTGTTGATAAACAGATAAACACATTTTCATGGCGCTTTTTTGCGAAATGACCCTTCCGTATAGACGTATTTACGTCAAAAAGATTACAAATGCTAATCCATTGTTTCATTCCGTCATGTTTCTACAATTAAAATCAATGGCCAACAACAACTTGCACTTAGTTTCAAAATCAGTTACAGATGTCAGGGTGACACATCACGCTACTTACTGCCATCTAGTGAAAGAAGTTGAAAACATCCTTGAAAAAGAAAAACATTACAAATGCATATACATTGTTTCATTCTAGAATGTTTCTACCATTAAAATCATTGGCCAACAACAACTTGTACTTAGTTTCAAAACACATTACAGATGACAGGCGGATACAGTACGCTTCATACTGCCATCTAGTAAAGAAATACGTAACCCTTTACAGATAAACTACTCTAACCTAATTCCTTCATTACGTTTTCATCAATATCCATTTTCTTTATATTTAAAAATAATTATATCCTTTATGTTTAACACAAAATTTAATTTTATAGCAAAAGACAGTGTTTAAAGACGGTCTGGTATTTGTTTACTCTATTAAATTCCTCATTGTTAGAACATCGGGTTTTTATTCCGTTGTCGCAGTCCCATTGCCTATTCGAACATTGTTACGCATTGTTGAAGCTTGTTTACTAGTGAAACCAAGGAAACGTCTAAGATAGAAACACTTGAGCTCAAACACAGCTGAAGTGAGGACTTCTGAGCGATACACGAATAACTCACTGCAAATATAATCTTCAGGAGGTAAGTGGAGACTTAAATTTTATTTATGGAGTATATATAGGTAAGTAACTGATAACAGACAATCTTGAATAATATAATATAATACAATTTAATATTAATTTTAATTTTTTCACAAAGTCTACGTTTGATTTTCCAAACCCTGTCAGCCATATTTCTGACTAAAATTGTGTTTTGAGTCATTCATCTGCAAAATTATGATTGCATCCAACTTCGCAGCTGAAGATATGATGCATATATTAAGTGTAGAGAATTATTCTGTCGTTACGAGCCATACAATCACTTGTTTTAATCTTTCAGATGGAAATATACTTCTCATTACAAGTAAATATCTTCGACGTCGTACTGCTGTTTACAATTATGATACTGCCAAGAATAATTTTCTATATCGGACGGTTGTTAGGAAATTCGTACCGAAAAAAGTAAGTACAATTGCATATTACTTCAAATATTTATGATGGTAAGTAGACGTTTTTGAATTCCGAAAATATTTTGCTAAGACACGGAAAGAAATTACGATTTTTTATATTTTACGATGAGAAAAATTCTAAATTTAAAGTGGTAATATTCTCCTTTATCTCTGTGATCTCACTCTGTGTTACAGGACTACTCGTGAATCATCGCAGAGTTCCACAAATTCCAGCATCACCGACAATATCATCCCTGATAGTACAGCACGAATACTTCCTAGTCCAGCTCAAGAATAAATTCCGAGGTCACATCATTCATCAGATAGATAAAATCCGCGCGGAAGAAACTGAGAGAGTTACTGCCATATGTTGGGACACAGAAAGATGGGTCCCTTATCGTACTCAAGATCTGTCTACGGGGGACCCATCGGCAGCTCGGAGAGTCTAAGGAAGGCCTACGTGGCCGCTGAAATTCTTCATCCTGTCTTGTCTTCGGCTGCACGTGGACGTCGTGTGATCGAGTAAGGTCCACTCCTCTTCAGAACACCGACGTCTGTAGTCTCAGCAGTGCACGGGAGATCTCATCTAGGTCGTATCGGGTGTGGTTAATGCCTTGGTGTAGTTGGCTGAAGACAATTCCAACCTCCGAGCGCATGAATCACACCCGGAATGAGTTAGATGAGATCTCCGATGCACTTGTGGGAAAACACCTGAGCTTTTCTGGTGATTGTCGACAGAGGTCTTGACCCCTCTTTATCGCGTAACGTTCGAAAATATGTCACGTGATGTGGCCGACAATAATTTCCGACGTTAGCAGAAAGCTCTACACCCGGCTACCCTGTCATTATCTGGGGGTGGATTAACAGGGGGTTGTCTGGTTTAGACGAAAATTATAAATTTATTTAGAAAATCTGATGTAAAAGACAATGTTTAACGAAAAAGGAATAATACAATAATGACATTGTATAAACCATTAAATCACTTGTAGCTAAATCTTAAAAATAGTAAACACTGGGTTATTACTATCCGTTTGAATATTTTTTTAAAAAAAAAATGATATATACTTTGTAAAATTTTACATAAAATCTTTTCTGTCCTTAGTAAATCTTTAAAAGATTAAATAATGTATGTTCTTAAATAAAATAAAATAAAATACTTGTTAAATATCCGTATTTTTATTTCATTTTTGCAAATTATTTATAGATTTCAGTATCCAGATTTTTAAGCTGTAGTTAATATATGTTTTTAATGTTTTCTGTTTCCACATTTTTTAACATCTATTTTCCAATTCAGTGTCGCAGTCCCTCCCTCAACTTCTTCGTCCATAGTTACGCACTGTTACAAACTGTTTGCAGGCGTTACCTAGTAATCTGTATTAGTATAATAAAACTCAAGAAAAAGACTTTTATAATTTTCTAGACTTTTTCTTACGTAAGAGCTTATTCTAAGATACAAGAACATGTCACCTTTTTAAATGGTGATTATAATATTTAGGTTACATTCATTTTACTTACACAGTACTGAAAATAATAATGTTTACTAGACCATAATTGAATTTTCTCTTTCCCCAGAATTTGAGTTCGACAAAAAAACATTTAGTAGAAAGTTAAAAGTTTTTCTCCAGGTTTGAGAAATCAAAACTCAAATATACCCTTTCAACATTTGAACACAAGAAAGCATCTATAAGAAATGTGAATGAGAACGGGATTTAGAGAGTAATGGATATAAAAATATGCCAGTGTTTCACGGTACAACACTCGCCTTACTTTTTTTCATATGGAATGTTATTTTTCGAATGCTGTTTAAAGTATTGGTTCCTGTCCACAGAGTGACAGCAACCAACATAACACGTCCTTATACAACACGACTACACAACCTGTTTTACTCTGTTATGTTTTGTTTGGTTCAAGTTCATTTTTACAGCCTACAGTGTTAACCTGTATGAAGAAAAAGTCTCTAATATCTTAAAATATGTCCTATTAATAGCCTGCATTTGGTATCCTCAATTTTGTGAGCAAATATTCAGCTTATTGAAAAATTTCGAGTCAAGATTTACGATGTGTCTTATTGATGAACAATCAAATGGAATCCTGAGGAAACTCTAGGTCTGGAAAAGGTTGAGAACCCTGATATACAGCATTCTGCGGACCTGCTGTGTTAGATGTCCGTGGCTTTTAAGTTGCAATATTAATATGTGGTGTCACGCGTGTTTGTCAGGGAAAACCACCGCAGGCCACGTTAAACCACCAGTCACATACCAGGAAGGCTTGGTTAAAGAGTGTCCCATTTGGGCACAACATAGGCTCTCCATGACCATCATCAGAACACACAAAGAACACCTGAAAGCATAAACAATAATATTACCAGTTCACGTAGACTACAGTGAAATATAGAAAATTCACATGAAATTTATCGGACACTTTCAGGGATATAAATGGTCAGAATTCTCTTTATCATGATTTTTGTTGCTAGGAAACATTCCCACTGCAAAGATATAAATAAAATAAGGGAAATAATTGATCTTAAGTTTGCGAGTGAATATAGTACGAGGTGCGATCGGAAAGTTTCAAGACTGCGCGTATAAAAACCCGTACACTTATCTCAGGTATTAAATTCATCCATCACCCTCGAAGTAGTTCCCCTGGGAGTGAACACAACGA